TCGTGCTACGTTACACCTGATCCTCGAAATCTGATTTGTAGATCATGCATAACCTGGCACAGATTTCAGAAGTGCTATATAAATATATAGTTACGTATTATTTTATCTGTTTCGATCTCCTATTAGATATGAGTGTCGCTAAAAGAAAACCCGAAAATTTAAATATGACTTATATTTAAATTTCGGGTTTTCTTTTAGCGACACTCATATTTGATATTAGTCAACTCCTTTCATTACGAACTGACGGTTTTATTGTAAAAATTTTATCAAACTTTATAACAAACTTTTGTTTAAAAGGTTCTTAAATTCAGAGTTGGCTGTATAATGAATTCTGTACATTGTAGCTAAGGTAGAACTTTGACCCGTATGGGTCACGGGTTGAAAATTTGCTCTGAACGGGTCAGAATTCAAAACGCGCAATTTACCTAATATAACTGTATGGGTAGAAGACATTATAATTTACTAAGTAGTAAAGCTTGAGTAGAAGACATTATAGTAAGCTCTTAACTGGTCTTCTGATCTGCGCAGTCATCTTCTTGATGTGTTATAGCTGTTTTTATAAATTCTGGGACACCTGATTCGGCTGATTCGGCTGATTCGATTAAGTTTATAATTCCGTTATAGATTCAAATTGATATACTGTATATAATTTAAGTACATCGGAATGGAATTATAGTAGATTTAGAATCAATCTAGGTTGATTCCGAATAAACATAGATTGTAATAGAATTCTAAAATGTGTTCAAGTTATTAAAGAATTCGAATTTAACTTAAAACGAAATAAAATAAATTCCGAATTATTTATTAATAAGTTATTTTAGAATTTAAGTAGCTTCGAGATAATGCTTTATTTATATCATATTGCAAAGTATTGCTTTAAAACATTACGTGTGGTTTTTACATTTATAGTTACTAGGGTGACAACTACTACCACAAGGCAAATTCATTTTTTTGCATTTACAGTGATTTTTTTCACAAGTATTTTTGCAGTTGCATTTTACATTACCTTGATTGCGCAATAGATGCTTCCCGAATACTGATAAAAGTTGAAGGAATATTATCCAATTCTGGAAATTTATCTGGACCTAAAGGAAGTAATTCATTCGTGCTATATGTAATTTTGATAATGCCTGACTTGCATCCAATTCTATACATATCATTCTCTAAAACCTTGAGAATCTTGCAAGGGAGTGTTTTCTGGTCACCAACGTCTTATTTATTAAATAATCCTTTATTATGTTTATTGAGCTGCAATTTTATACCATCATGATATTGTTCAAGTGACTTTGTAGCTATACTTCGATAAAGTTGATGTGCTGATGTTTGTTGAACATTGGTCTTGTCTTGAAGAGTAGATTCTGGATGTTTATCTAAAGAAGACTAAAGACGTAATAAATGTTAATTAATTATTAAAATTTTAATTCACTAAAATGATGCTTAATTACCCAATATTAGTAGTAGACAATTTATATCTTTTAGTTGGTCTAATTTCAAGATTATTTTCTTCAGGTAATTTTATCTGTTTTATAAAATAGTATTATTATTATTATTATTATTGTATTTTATGATAATATAATACTAATATATACTCTCATTGCGTTCTCAGTTCTTTTATTCACTCTTTTGTGCACTATTTTATTATCATCTTTATCCGCATCTATCCTTTTACCATTCATCCTCTTATTATCATTATCATCCACCCTTTTGTTATCTACCTTTTCACTGTTCGCCTTTTTATTGTTAACTCTTTCATCATCCACACCTTCATTATCCACCCTTCTATAATTTACTCTTTCAATATCCACACCTTCATTGTCATCTACTCTTTCATTGTCAACTCTTTCATCATTCACACTTTTATTGTCATCCACTTTTTCATCATTGCCTACACTTTAATCATCATTTACTATTTCATTGTCATCTATCCTTTCATTGTCATCCACCCTTTCATCATTCACCCTTTCATCGTTATCTACATTTTCATCATCTTTTATCCTTTTATTATCAACTCTTTCATCACAAACTCTTTTATAATCTGTCCTTTTGATATCTACTTACTTATTTTTCAATTCTTTATTAATGAGTTCCAGTAATTGTTGTTCCTTAAATTATTTTGTTTAGATAAAAAAATAATAATAAATAAATAAATATCTAATTTCTACTATAGGTGATCATCACCTGTAATTTTTAATATATATAACGAAAACAACAAAATAATTTTCATTAAAGTAAAAGTAATATTTTTTATAGTTAGAGTTAGAGTGAGGTTTGGAATAAAGCAAGAGTATTGCTTATAGTAAAATTTTGCAAAGAATTATTTTGTTAGAGCTCTAAAAGTAGTTTTATAAGCAGAATTTTGAAATATAAATAATACAGATAATGATCATCTGTGGTGGAAATTAGCAAATTCTAAAATAAAATATATAATATATAAAAAAATTCACCTCTACATTTAAAGTCACAGTCCTAAAACTAATTCTACAGTTTCTTGTTAATCAAAATCAGCTTAGAATTTAGAGAATTTAAACTAATTTTCAAATAAATTATCTTCAGAATTAATGTGTTGTTCTTTAATTTCTTTTAACAACATAAAATGACTTAAAGAATTTTGTCTAAACATTAATGCATAGGGACTATTTTTAGTTAGTTACGATGTTTGTATATTTATAGCATCTAATAAAAAAAATAAAATATATATTACTTTAATTAAAAAAAATTAAATTATAATTAAAATACCTACTACAGTATAATGGTATAATACAAGCCCAATCTTTCCTTTGTATATCTTCTATCTATTTAGATACTTTTTGTTAAAATATATTGTTTGCAGATTCTATAAACTCTTAACTCTGTAGGTGGCTTAGATGTTCATTAATAATATAAATATC